TTCATCGTCTTCGTCTTCCTTTAAACCTTGAGTTCTTCTTTCAGCTTGATCCCAATCTTTCTTACAAACACAAATTTGAATGCTTTCCGGAGTTAAGCGAGATCTTTTTTCATCTAACACTCTTCTACCTGCACTAAAAGCAGACTCGGAAGCAACAGATGAAGCGGGAACTGCAAGTATATCTTTTGCAATTCTCGCCAATATAGGAAAACTTTTTTTATGTTCTTGCCACCATTTTATAATTTGAAAGTTGTTGTTGGTCTCATGTTGATATGACAAATAATCATTAATAGCAAGTGTTGAAGAAGATGATGATGAGAATGATGTAGATGCTTTGTGTTTTTTTTCATAACTTTATCAAGAAAACCAAATCTAGAATCGGAAGTGCTAGTAGTAGTTGGTGTTGCCAAATCAAAACCATAAATAGATGCATAATGATCATAAAGGTCTCCCAAAACAGATTTGCATTTGTTAATATATTCACTAACATCATAATCGATACTTAAACTTGTATAATAAAATTCTAAAAGATTTTCCAAACCTTCAGCTTTGACACCGGGGTCAAGAATAGCAGCAATTCCATAAATGATTGGAAATTCACTAAAATAAGTATGCCACTTACGTTTCATGCTATCAAGAACGGGACGAAGTCCATCAATCTTCATATGCTCTTCGATGGTGTGAACAACTTTAACACACTCAATTATGACTAAATGAACGTTAGGCTCATAAATATAAGAGAAAATATGAGTTGCACTATCAAAAGCATTTAAAACATCACGAACAAAAGAAGCATTAGTCCAATGACTTTCGGTTATTAACTCAGTAGGATCAACACGAGTCTCATTGTAAAGTTGGGTCAAAATATCACGATACTTTATAGCATCACTCAACAACTTGAAAGTAGAATTCCAACGGGTAGGGGTATCAATAGACCATTGTCTTTTCTTAAGACCTCTCTCTTTACACATAGCTATGTACTTTCTTCTAACTGACTGAGTAATCCTAATCCATTTTATAACTGTTCTAATTGGGTTTAGCAATGGTTGCAACTCAGCGAGACCCTCTTGAACAGACAAATTCAAAATATGAGCACAACATCTAACATGCAAGAGACTACCACCCAACAACAAATTCAACTCGGAGTCATTTTTCAAATAGTCAATACACTTTGTGTTTGCAGTTGCATTATCAAGAGACAAAGAAAAAACTTTATTATTCAAGTGAAATTCTTTTAAACAATCCAAAATACGAACTTTGATGTTAAAACCGGTATGCCTTTCTTCCATAGCTTGAAAACATAGTATACGTTTTTGAATAAACCAATCATCATCCACCCAATGAGCAGTAATGCAAAGAAAAGGTTCGCCAAAACTAGAAGTCCATGTATCACTTGTAAAACTAACACGACCATCAAAAGTACGAAATAATTCAATCAAACCACTCCTATACTTATAATAAGAAGTTTGTGTATAACGTCTTAGGGTATTTCGGGGGACACGAGTAAATGCAGGTTGTAATGCAACTTTATTAAAATGCTCAACGTTTGCATTTTCACCGTAACTAAAAGGGTATTCATTAGCAATAACTAAAGTACTCATTTCATCAATCATTCTATCTTTATTATAAATGAAAGGTGTACCTCCGCCGGGTTGGTTCATGTATCCACCCAATTGTGTTTGGACGCCACCCCCCGAAGGACGGGGGCCATTTTCGAACAAGTCGTGTTTATTTTGCAAATGCCGACTCAAGGTTCCGGTTCCATCTCCCGTTTTCCAATTATATGACTTGACATTTGCACCTAGCGCCTTGCAAACTAGGCATGTACACGTGAACCTCTTTGGTTGACCAGGTTGCCATCCCGGGGGTGTGACCTCAACTCGTTCAAAATGTTTCCACACCCAAGAAAAATGTGCTCGACCTCTACTTTCACCGCCACCACCTTTCATAAATCAAATTATTAAAATTAATTTTTAAATGCTATTCATGAAAATAAGCTTTTAAATTTTAAATATTTTAATTATACTTATTTAAACGCATTTTTCATGGTAATTAACTAATTGTAAATCATAGAAAATTGGAAACTAAACTAACTTTATAATCATTAATAATAGTTTTTTTAAATATTCATAACAATAAAAATTTAATTAGAAATTACCTTGAGATGAAGGTTGAGATGTTGGTTGCGATGGAGGTGGCATAGTTGAACTTGATGATTGGTGGGACTCGTGGGAGAAATGTTGTGGTGGAGACGTTTGAATATTTTGCCTATCTCCTAAACCATAATCTCCATATTCATTGACAAATTGGTTTAAATTTTCCGTATTAATTTCATACGAAAAATTTGCACCACCACTCCTTTGGCTACCACTTCGACCACCACTTTGACTCCTTCCCATTCCTCCTCTTGAGCTCATTTTTTTTTGTATGATTACTAATTATAATATGGAGAAGAACTTTTTTTTTTTAGAATCTTAAGAATACTAATAATAATATTAAGGAGATTTTTTTTAACAAAAATATAACTCTATATAACACTTGAGAATTTGAGAACAATAAGAATTTTTAAGTAAGAGAGAAAGAAAGCTTGAATTTGTGTGGAAATTTGAGTGAAATGGAATTGGTATTTATAGGAAAAATAGAATGGATGATCATACACTTAAAAAACTAGCCGTTAGATACAAAAAACTAGCCGTTAGATACAAAAAACTAGCCGTTTTTTTTTAAAATGGATGTTAGGCCGTGCGGGCCGTGCGGGTCGTGCGAATTGTGCGGGCTGTGCGGGCCGTGCGGGTTGTGCGGGCCGTGCGGGTTGTGCCGGTCGTGCGGGTTGGGTGGGTCATGCGTGCGGGTTGGGTGGGTCATGCGTGCGGGTTAGGTGGGTTGGCTCGTGCGGGTTGGGTGGGTCATTCGTGCGGGTGGGCCGTGCGGGCTGGGTTGTGCCAGGTGGGTCGGGTTAGGTGGGTTCACGGGCTAGGTGTGTCGAATTAAATGAGTCAAAACGGGTTGTGCGATTTGGGTCGAATCAAACGGGTTAAACTGAGCTGGGTTGAAATGGGTTGTGTCGAAAATTTTGGACCCACGACACAACCCGGATTAAATCCGAGCTGTGCCGGGCTGTGTCGGATTGAAACCGGGTCGGACCCACGTGACCCACCAGCCGTGCGAGTTAGGGTGGGCTGGGTCCAACCCGGCCCACTGGCCACCTCTAGCTACGCCGGTGAGGGAATCTCGTCTAGGTCGTCATTCGCGTCGTATGGTTTCTCCAGTGACCCTATGCTGATTTAGATATCTAAATTAGTAATAAAAATAATTTTGATATTATAATTTGTAATGAAAATACGCTAATACTTAAGGTCTTAATTTTTTTACATGAAAATATGTTATAATGTAAAAGGTAATGAATGATGGCTTGATGATTTCAATCATCATCAGCACAAAGAATTCAAATATATAACACAAGTTGTATGTTTCCTAAGCCACACCAAAATCGTGTACAGCTAGCTAAGGAAACAAGATAAATATGGCAAAAATATATCCTACAGAATCAAATATTCTTCGATCCTAATCAAATATGCTCCTAAATATCTTCCAAAACATATCTAAATATATAATTTGTAAAAATTATCTTAACCAAATTAATTTAGGTGATTTATACCCTTCCTTTATACCCAAAAAATTTCATATTATATTGTCGTTGGAGTTTGGAATTTCGTATTGTACCCAAAAAACAAATTATTTTTTTTATTTTGTTTAAATTTTCATTTAAAGTGTCATTTTTGCATTTAGGAAATCAAAATTTATTATCATCACTTTTAATGAATCACATTTGTATTTATAACATTGAATATTTCAAAGTGAAAAAATCAAATAACTCTTTTTATTTTAAATAATTTACATCTAAATTAAGTTGTATAATGTGTCCAATAAATTTTTGGGCATAATTTTTTTTTTCTAGAAAATAAAATAATAATCCAGGAAATTTAGTCTAATGAATTAAAATATACAATATTTTTATTTTTTCGTTTTCATCCAATGTATGAGTCGATACCTCTTATTCCATCAGTCTAATAAACAAACCCCTTGAGTGATGATGGATTTTGGATAGTAGTCATGTGTACGAATCTTGTGGAGGTACAAAGAAACATGTTTAATTTTGTATTTTATTTTTTATAAGTTTTGATTTTAAGTATAATAAAAAATATATATATATATATATTATCAATTTTAAAGGAATCGTATTTGTATTTATAAAATCCAAACTTACACCGTATTACAAAGTCATGAAACTTATTATACCTTATTAAACTTATTATACCAATATACCTTATTGAACCTTATTAGACCTTATCAAACTTATAATACCTGCCTTATTGAACTTATACTATACATGCCTTATTGACCTTAACAAAGTTATTTTACCTTATTGGACCTTATTAGTACGTGTAGACACCCATTTGTGTCTCTCCAAAACCATACCTGGTGATGAATACCTTTCACGTCGAATCATAATCGAATGAAGTGAAAGTGTGGAAAGTCTAGTGTTGTAGTTAGTTTAAATTCTCTTCTTTCTCTCTGTTTTTGAAAACCTGTTTCATGAAAATAGTCAATCCATTTTAGTTTGGTCCATAGTAAGGGTCCAATAATAGTGTAGTTGGATTGGGCTCGAAAAGAGCTTTCCAACGGTAAATTTTACCCTACACCCTAGTGTAGGGTGTGTTCCCTACACCCCCCTTAAGCTACGTCGTTTTGTAGCTGGCGTGGAGTTCTCATGTGCAGCTTCATTTTGCGATTCTTTCCCTTTTTTTTTCTTTTCTTCCTCTTTTTTCCTTTTTTCTTTGTTTCTTATTATTCAAGCTATGCATTTATATGATTTTAAACCCTATTTTTTCTCTCTCTTCAATTGATCAACCTCCATTTTTTATCTACATTTTTCTCTCGTTAATTCATCTTCTTCATTTGATTTTTTTTACGAATTCGATAATTGTTACCGATTATCAATGGCGAATTCTGCATCTGGAGATTGCGTTGATTTTGATCGTGATTGTGAGCGTGTGTTTTCTTCTGGAGTTTGTTTGGTTGATTTGTTGGTTCAACAATGTGAGTAATTGTGATCATAATTTTGCAATTTTTAATCATCTCTACTTTGTTATGTTATAATGCTCTGTTTATTTGAACTTAATTTATGTATTATTATTCACTTTCGATTTTTGAATTTACTACTTTTATTACATTATGATGAACGTTTTTGGATTGTTATACTTTGTATGAACATTTTGTTGCTTCATTTGTTTTCTCTATGTTTTAGAATTGTGTGTTTTTGTTGTATATTTTTTAGATTAATTTTATACTTTCAATTAATCATTTATGTTTTCTTATTTGTACTTATTAATGTGTTTATGTTCAGTCTCAAAGTCATTTTATCATTTATTTTTACATTTATATATCGATATTATGTGAAGTGGTAAATAATGAAGATATTGGTCAAAATATTATGTGCTGAAATTTTTGCAATTGATCATGTGCTGTTTTAATATTGAACATTTTACTTATTTGTTATTGTTCATTCATGAAACTCTTTATGATCATTTATAATTGTATATTAAAACTTTGTGCAGTGGAAAAAAAGGATGATATTGTTTATTTAGAAGCAGAAAAGTCTGAACTAAAGGATAAAGAATTTAAATCTGAAGATGAAGCTTTTGAAGCGTATAATGATTTTAGGAAAGGTTTTGGAATTCGAATTGGGAAGAGTAAGAGAAGAAGAGATGATTCTTTTTTTATGAAAAGATTTGTTTGTTGTAATGAGGGATTCAAAGATAATAAGTGTAAGAATAAAAGGATTTATGAGAATTTGGATAATCGAACTGGTTGTTTAGCTTTTGTGCAGTTTCATATTGATCATTTAGGGGTCTATACATGTACAAGACATAAAATGGTTCATAATCATGCTATGATTCCTCCTGAAAAAAGGCATTTGATAAGGTCTCAAAGGAATGTGAATAAAGAGCAACTTCTTTTCATTTCAACAATGAAATTGAGCGGAGTCAAAGTTACTGATTCTTTGAGGGTTGTAAAGAAGGAGGTTAGTGGATCTCCTAATCTTTCTTTTACTGCTTCTGATGCGTATAATGCATTGTCATCTGAAAAAGCTGCCCAAATTGAAGGATGTGATAGTAACCAATTGATTAAATATTTTGCCAAGAGACATGTGGATGAGGCAGATTTTTATTATGATTTTGAACAAGATGATAGTGGTGCTTTAGTTAGTTTTTTTTGGCGTGATGGTAGGATGATGAGAGATTATCATTAATTTGGAGATTTGTTGGTTTTTGATACAACTTATAGAACTAATAAATATGGAATGATATGTGGTCCATTTGTTGGGATGAACCATCATGGTAACAATGTCATGTTTGGTATGGGTTTTATTCTTAATGAGTGCACCGAGTCTTTTGATTGGTTGTTTGACACATTTTTGCACTCAATGGGGAGGAAAAGTCCCATTAAAATTATGACTGATCAAGCACAAGCGATTGCAGCGGGTATAAGAAACAGTTTTCCTTCAACTGTTCATCATCGTTTATGTGTATGGCACCTTAAACAAAATTATAAGAAACACATTGGAGCATTGAGAGCTTTGGAAGGCTTTACAGATTTGTTTGGTTATCTTTTGAAGTATTGTGAAACTCCTGCTGAATTTGAATATTTCTGGAAAAGGTAAATTATTGTTTTTTGTATTTATTTTTTATTTTTATTATGTGATATATTTGATTATTATGTGATATATATATGAACATTTAGTGTTTTACATATGATCATACAGTTTACTTTTTTTTGTATGTTATCATAATATTATTAGTGTCCATATTATTTATGATCATTATTCTTTATACAAATGTACATATTTTAATTTATATTTTGTTCATTTTTCAATTAATATATGATCATTTCTGTTATACAAGATGTGTGATAAATACAAATGTGAAAATGATGATTGGTTATTTGATTTGTATAAAATAAAGGAAATGTGGTGTCCTACTTATTCTAAGAAGTATTGGTCTGGTGGTATATTGTCCTCTCAACGTAGTGAAACTACTAATAAGTCAGTTTCACAACGTCTTAATAAGACTCAAGGTTTATGTGATTTTTATCATGTTTTTCTTGATGTCATTTCTGAGTGGAGAAGTAAGGAAGGTGGAAGAGATTACAATACTTTGAGGGGTAATAGGCACCTAGCTTTTGCTAATATTGGTATATTAGTTCATGCAAGATCATTGTACACTATTCAAGCTTATGTGCTTTTTGAAGAGGAGTTCATTAGGGGGACAGCTTATGATCATGTTGATAATGGTTTGTGTTTTCCAGAATATTCATATCTTCTTTGGAGGCCTGGGAAGGATATAATTAAGCATGAAGTTGTTTTTAATAAGGAAACACATGCAGTTTGTTGCACATGCATGTACTTTAGTGAGACTGGTTTACTTTGTTCTCATTCTCTTTGAGTATATCATTTGCATTGTGTGCGTAATATTCCACAAGAGTATGTAATGAAACGATGGACAAAGGCTGCCATGTGTAGTCATGGTATTGAAGAACCTACTTTGAGGACAAATGTTGTGGCTACAAGTGTTTGGAGGTCACAAACAATCAGAAAATTTGTTAAGTTGATAACAGGTTGTCAGAATTCTTTGAATGCAAGGGAAGAGGTTGAGTGTTATTTCAATCTGTTAAAAGAAAAGGTTGAGAGTGTATCAGGTGTAATTGACTTTAGTGAACCTGTTAAAGAGGTTGAAATTGTTGATCTTGAGATCAAGAATCCTCCAAAAGCTAGGCCTAAAGGTGATAGGAATGTAAGGCCTAAGAGTACCTTGGAGAAGCAGTGCAACAAGGCAAAGGGTAATTTCAAGAGGAAAAAGTCTATGTACACTCCTTACAAAAGGGGTATAGGGCAAGCAGTTGTACAAGTATATGATTATTTAATATTTTCAAATTGATCATTTAAGTTTTCATAAATGATCATTTATGTTTGTTTTTTTTAATAGGAACTTGATGAGAATGGTTGTGCTGTTACTTATGCTAATTCTATTAATGACCCCACTGAATTGATTGTTTTGAGCAATAAACAGTCTCAGGTAAATTTAAATGTGCAAAAAAAAAAAACAGTTTATTTATATTTTATTATTATTGATTTTTATAATTTAAAAATATAGGTTGGCTTTAATTCAGCTGTTGTAGAAGAAATTCCTTCTAGTTCTAAGGAATCAGATCAGAGTAATTCTAATGATTTTGATCAGGTATGTTTGTTTGTTATTGATTATAATTTATTTTATTTTTTGACATTTATGATCTATATGATAATTTTTTATTTAATTTTTTATTTTTTATTTTTTTTTTGGTTTTTTTTTGTAGGCTACTAGTTAAAGCCCTCTTCCATCCAGCATATCTATTGATGTTGATATTTCACCTATTGCTAAGGTTTTTTTTCTTATTTGTTTATATAAGTGTTTGTAACTGATCATATACTGGTTTATTAATGATCAATTTAATTTTTTTTTACAGGAGAAGGATTTAAATCTAGTTGAAGGTGTTTCTGCTGTTCAAGCTCGTTCTAATGTTGGTGCAAATAAAGGTGGTTCTGGTGTTAAAACTTACTCTCAAATTAATCCAAGAGTTCCAATTCATACTAGTGCGTCAACAAAATCTCCTGCTGTTATTCAACCTACAATTCCCAGGAATGTTCAAAATCCAACTCAGAATTGTTCAAACACCAATCAAGAAATGATCATATCCAACTCCAAAAATGTTCAATCAACAAATGTTCAAGTTATTTCTTCAAAAAAATGATCAAGGATTTCGTGTTCAGAATGTTCAAGTTATTCCTCCCACAGTTCAAAGAAATGATCAAGGTGCTCGTGTTCAACCTAGTGAGTCAACAAAATCTCCTGCTGGTGTTCAACCTACGGTTTCTAGGATTGTTCATACTGCACCCCAGAATTGTTCACAATTCAATCCAGAAATGTTCAAATTCAATTCAAGAAATATTCATTCAACAAATGATCAAGGTTTTCGTGTTCCAAGTGTTCAAGTTGTTCCTCCAACTGTTCAAACAAATTATCAAGGTGCTCGTGTTCCAAATGTTCAATCAAGAAATGTTCAATTAAGTTCTGGAAAAATTTCTTCTAAGTATGACAGGTTGTTAGCCTTTTTTGATACAACTGTAGCTAAAAGTTTGGCTAATAAAGATAAATAGTTTAGTATATTAGATATTTATAACTGTGGTTTTAACTTCTTTTTTGTAATGGTAGTTTAAGTATTATTTTTTAATGTTGAATTTTTTTTTTATTATTTTAAAGACATAAAAATTTTCTGCCTATTTGACTTAATATTTTGTAATGTTTAACTTTATATTGGAATTTATATGAATTTAAAATTCAACATTTATAAATGTTTATATGGTCATTTGTATATGAACAAAAGTAAATGTTTAACAAATAAAATTCATGTCTATTTAAATGAAACATAAACAATAAATTTTTAACAAATAAAATTCATATGTCTATTTATTAATAAGAATAAAAAAACATCTATAAGTCTATATATACATATTTATAAATGAACATATGATACTATTCCATTGCAAATTTTCTTGCTTTCCTTCTATTTATTCTTGATTCAGAGTTTTCTTCAAACAACATCAATTCTGCTATGTATTGGATCCTTAGCTTTCTAATTTGGTTCACCTGTTGAAGAAAATGAATTATTAAATTTTAATTTTTAAACATTGTTTTATAAATGAACATTATATATTATATTATTGAACATTTATCATACTTACATTGTTTGGTTTTAAATCACAAATCCAACTCTCATTAGGATCAGCAGTGAAGGTTTCCATATGCTTCATAATGTAAACTCTACAGTTTGTATGATCGTCGTTGCTACGCCATTTCATCTTTTCCAAAACAATTGTGTAGTCTTCAATTCTATTTGCATCTTCATATCCAAGGTGTTTCATGTATTCTGCCAATCCTTTTAACTAATAATCTCAACAGAAAAAAGTATTGAATTGTTGGTTTTGTTATGAAGTCATGAATATTTAATAACAAATAATTGATCATTTATCTAAGTATAAATAAACATATTATCTCATCATCAATTTTGGTTGTTCTTCATATTTTGCTTGTACTGAGACATGTTGTGGCAGTTTTCTGTTGTCTATTATATGAATTTTGTCTTCTATATGATTGACGCACAACAGAAAAAAAATATTGAGAAGTTGATACTGGGAAGAAGACCTGAACAAATAATAAAATATTATTGAACATTTTACTAAATATAGTTGAACATATGTATATTATTATAATGGCAATACCTGTTTGTATCCAACAATGCTATCAATTTTATTCCCCTTCAGCTCGTTTTTCATTCTTTCAATGACGGATTCAATTCTTTTCTCCATGGATGAGCCTGCTTGACAAACTCTATTTGTGCACATAATGTGGTGTTGAAATAGACACAAACATATACAAAATTAATGAATTTTTAGCAATTATAAATCATATAAAACAATACCTATACTTTAAAAAAGAAGTAAAACTCACATGAAGCATTTTTGAGAAGTAAATCTTGTTTCTTGGCCTTTTATGATTAAGAAACCTTGCCCATGCATCTATCACACAATTTGTCACTCCAACATCATCTCCAAGTGTTTTCATTTCTTGTTTATTGATGTGATTCAATCCATCATAATATAAAAGTGCACTGCAATATGAACATTTAGTAATATAAAGATGAACATATTTTCAAAGAACATATTTAACCTTGTATAAAATTAGTAAGAGTAAATACCTTTCATCTTTTCCACTTAGTGCAAAGTCTACTGCAACTTGGTTCATCGTTTTCTCATCTTTGAACAGATCCTTGTATTTGATCATGTAAGGAGATCGGAAAGCAAGAGGAATTGTTTGCTTTTCACGTTGTGGTCTTGTTGTACATTAAATAAAGTAGTGTTATTAAGAACATTATTTCTTATATAAATGGACATTTATATGTATATAAAAAAAAATATAAAATTGTACCTTTCAACTTTTTGCTTTTCTGCAATTGACTTTTTCTTTTCATTATTCCTGGACATATTAAATAAGAAAAATGAACATTTAGTTATCTGAAAATGTTCATTAATTATTTTGAACATTAGTTTTATGTATGTACCTTTTTGTGACTTTTGAGGATGTTGTATCAGTCTCCTTGAGTTCACTGAAATGTCAAACAGTGTCAGTACATATAAATAAAATGATAAGTCACATAATACATTATGTGCGTTTTCAATTCATAAAATCAAACATATTTATATAACATAAACCACACATTCATAATACATATTCAACAAAAATTTGTACACACATACAATAGTTTTTGAAACACCAGTTTGAAGTTACAACACAATAGTTACATAAGTTAAATTGTTCCATCTAGATAATTTATCCTTACTAATTACATAACCCTAATAGTAAGACATGTCTTCAAGTTTTTACCCCTCTACTTTGTCATCATTCTTTGTTTTTCCATAAACATCTTCCTTTTCTTGTTCTACTTCTCCAATTGGATCATCACTTTTTCCACCAATATCTGACCTAGTGTCAGCATTAACTTTTGATCCAGATCCTGCATCTAAGAAGAAATAATATTAGAAGTGAATATTATTTCTTTGTAAAAGAATATTTTACTCCTTATAATTGAACATTTTACCATTTCTAGGCAATCCTTCAATATCTTGTTCTGAAGCTGCTGAAGTTTTACCCATATCCATTTTTTCACTTGTTTTATAAATCATCATTATGGATAAACATAAAGTTAATAGTATTTATACATAATAATTAGAAAATATTCAATTTTCATTTATGTACATCATTTATTATATAAATGAAAATTACAATTTGTTGCAGTTGTTGGTGGTTCAATTATACTATCAAGTGTTGAAGTGGTGGGTCCTGTTCCTGTTTTTAAAAATTAACAAATTAAAACAATTTAGTCCACAAATTAAAAAAATTTCTATATAAAAATCAGAATAGTGTCTATGAGTTAGAATTACCAATGGCTGGAGAAGGTGGAGTCAACCCCAAGCTAAAAGCTTTTCTGATGTCATATTCTTCTTCCTTTTCCTTTCCCTTTTTGGTCATTTTCTTCAAAGAAATTTTCTTTTCATTTATTTGCCTCTCAGATGCTTGCATCAGTTCCTTCTCATCCTTATTAAGTGCATTCAGGAAATCATCACTGCTAAAGAATTCTTCATCTTGGCTTAGAACAGACGGTTCCCTACTTGCCACTTTTCCTAACACTTCATCAACTTTTTTCACCAAGTCATTTTCAGGAAAGATGTCCTTTGCCTTCGCCAATTTTGTAGAAAGCATTGACAGGATTGAACAAGTTGTCTTCACCAGGGTTACAAAATCATCCATAAAAACCTAGATTATAAGAATAAATATTCAGAATTATGCATGTG